TATTGGCACATTCATATTATCTCTTCATTTCACCATATCTCAGAGTATGGAGAAAGATAGAAGGAACTACTCAGACTTCATGAGAAAAAAATAACAAAACACAAATTTCATATATAAAAGAAAGTTCATACAACACTGATAAACAAACAATACTTATCTGAAAACTCTTTCTCAAAGTAAATCTTTTATAGCTTTCCGTTAGAAATGCAGGAAGAACATATCTCTCACTTTTCTCCTTCTCCAACACTCTTACAGAAAGTTTCACACTAAATCTCACCACAAAAACTCTAAACTATGAAAACAAAATCACTAATTGACTACAATATGGACAAAAAATGAAATGATATGGTGCGAAAAATGAAAGTAGAGGAGTGATAGAGCCCAAGATCGGTTCTCCAAGAGGTGCCTCCAAAAGCCTCCAAAATCTCTTCAAAAAGTCGTCCAAATACATCGAACCTTCTAGAAACGGGGTCTTCACCGCCTTTGGTGTCGTCGGCGCTGGTCTGGCGCTGAGTAAAAAATCTACGCGTTAATTTGTTCTGCGTCGTCGGCGCTGCCGCTGCGTCGTCGGCCCTGCCGGCACTGCCGGCGCTGAGCATTTCTTCAAAAACGTCATTTTGATTCCAAATTTCATCTCTTTTGCTTTCTTTTTGCTTTAAGCCCTCAAAATCAACAACCTGCAAGAAAACATCAAAATACCTTCCATTAAAGTGCAATATCACATCAAAAATAGATATAAAATATGGGTCTAAAAATGCATATATTTTTGGTGTATCAAAATCCTCCAAACTTACATGTTACTTGTCCTCAAGTAACTCCTTTACTATAGAAAAACTATGACTTATGATAAAGATCTTAACTTTTAGACTTCCATATTTGAGTTTTCCAAATATAATAGTATAATTTAAGAAAATTCAAAACAACTCTAGTTAATACTAAAGATGAAAAGATATTCAATAATTAAGTCTAAGGTTTCTGGTCCTCTATTTCTTTCAAGAAAAATTGTAATTTGTTATATTAAAGTCACTTAGCAAATTCTTATTAAAAAGAACTTCATAAAACTTTATTAATAATTAAGTTAACATTCAAATAAAAAGTTTAGAAAATGTGTTCAAGTCTTTTTCCTTAAGTTGATTCAAGTGAAGCCAATTTTTAATTAGGCATCTCCTCAAGCTT